CGGCTGGCTCAGCCCGGGCACAGGGCCCAGCGGGGGCAGGGGACAGACACGTGGTGGGGGTGTCGGGGGTGTCCCCTGCCGTGACGTGGCTCTGTGTACCCAGCTGGACTGCACCGCCGTGCACTGGGCCTGCCGGGGGGGGCATCTGGATGCTGTGAAGCTGCTGCAGGACCGTGGGGCAGACCTCAACCTGAAGGACAAGGTGTGTGGGGCACAGCTCGGGGCATGGGGCTGTGCCAGAGAAACGGGCATGCCCTGGGGGACCAGGGCTGGCCCTGTGTTGGGCTAGCAGGGGTTCCATACTCATCTCTTCTGGTGTCCATCTCCCCCCTCCCCAAGCTGCTCAGCACCCCCCTCCACGTGGCCACACGGACTGGGCACCCCGACATTGTGGAGCACCTCATCCACTGCGGGGTGGATATCAATTCCCCAGACAGGGTGAGTGCCACAGCCGTGCAGCCAGCTCTGGGGGACAGTGCCGATCTCCCCGCCCTTGGCTGTGGGGGCTCCCAGCACCCACAGCAGGGCACATCCCTGCCCCAGGGTGCTGGTAGCCACAGCCAGGGCTGGGGCGGGTGCTGTCTTCCTTGTCCCTGTGGGGCCGTGGGTGTACGGGGAGCTGGGGAGCAGTGCTGGGGACAGAATTCCTGACCCCAGAGCGGGACCAGCCAAGCTGCATCTCTCGCAGGAAGGCGACACGGCACTGCACGACGCCACACGGCTCAGCCGCTACAAGATCATCAAAATGCTGATCCTGCACGGGGCCGACATGATGGCCAAGAACCAGGTGAGCGGGGGAGACAGCACCGGGGCCGTCTGCTGCCCCAGCAGGTCATGCCACCCCAGCCTCAGCCACGCTCTGCCCACTCTCGCAGGCTGGCAAGACCCCGACGGACCTGGTGCAGCAGTGGCAGGTGGACACGCGCCAGGCGCTGGAGACCAAGGAGCAGCCGCCGGCGCAGACAGATGTCCCTGCCTGACGGCAACAGACGGGGACCAGGCACTGGGCTCTGCTCCAAGGAGCAGGATCCATCCAAGAGTTGTGCATGTCAATAAAAGCCAGCAAAGAGCAGCATTTGGCTCCAGGGTGCTGTGGGGCTGGGGAGCCTGTGCTGGGGGAGATGGGGAAGCTGGGTTATCCAGGAGTGGGGTTATCCAGCAGCAACAGTCATGCCCTGTCTCCTAGCACAGGGACGTGGGTGTTGGTGACAACTTTGGGCCAGGACACAAGCAGTTCAAGGGCAGAACTGCTCACTGCAGGACGCCCTGGTTGCTCGAAGTGCTTTAAAGTCCCACTTGGGCAAGCTCAGGGAGGAAAACTCCGGCGGCAGCAGCTCAACCCAGGGCTGCACCATGCTGGAAGCTGGGCTTGTGCCAGGCAGCAGCAGGTGTACTCTGTCTGGGGTGTGTTTCCGCTGTGGGGCCAGCCACTCTGGGGGACTGGGTGGCTGCTTGTCCTCCTGCCACCCCCTGGAGACAAAGTGGCCCCTTTGTGGGACGGGCCACTTCTGCTGAGCACAGTGCTCATTGCTCCCTACCCAGAAACGCTCCCGCCTGCCTGTTCCTGCCCTCCCGTGGGAGACCCTACCCTAACACCCAGAGCAAGAGAACCCTGCCCGCAGCCCTGGGACTCCCCGCAATGCCTGGTCCCTCCCCAGCCTTGCAGCCCAGCCCCATGGGTGGCAGAGGGACGGCTGCCAGGACTGTCAAGCGGAAGGGAAAGCACAGCTGGGGCTCACCCGGAGGGGTGCTGAGCTCCTGCGGCCAGCTCCTGAAGTAGGGGAGAGCACCCTGAGCTCAGCCGCTACCACCCCCCACGTCGTCCGCCCAGCCACGTTGCGGGTCCCTCACGTGCCCCATCAAACATTAACAGCCCCTCGGTGGGACGGGCAGCACAGGAACCACCAGCACCATGGCGCTCAGCATCTGCCTCGCCGCACCCCTCCGTCCCACCCTGGCAGCTCTGTGCCGGGCAGCCCCCAGGCAGCACCGGAGGCTCAGCACCCCCCCGGGACCGGGGCACACGATTGACCTCGGCGGTATCTTCCCGCCCCTCGCCACCCCCTTCTCACCCATGCAGGAGGTGGACTATGCCCAGCTGGAGAGGAACCTACACCGCTATGCCAGCATCCCCTTCCGAGGTAAGCACTGCCCGCTGCCCCTCTCCATGCAGGCTTCTGACAGACCCCTGCCCACTGCAGGGGCTGTGGGGCAGAGGCAGCCC